GCTGTTTTGTTTGGAGTGGCTTCCTTGGACCCCCTCTGTTTTTCAGTAGATTTCAAAGCACTCTATACAAGCTCCTCATACAATGAAGAATAAATAGATGCAATGTGGATACATCCTGCCATCACGTGGTCACTTTGCTCCTCACTCTGGGGTGGACAAGAGAAGCGTGCTGACAAGGGAGTCTGTGCATAAAGTTGATGGAACCATCTGGGGAAATGAAGGCAGAACCATTGGGTCTGATTTCCTTGGCATCAATTCATTTATCAGTCTTAAAAGGACATGCTGATGTTAGTCTTAACAGTTTTTTTGAGGTCGTAGGAGAGGAGTGTTGATGTAGAAGTATGGTGTCATCACGGAAAGTGGGAGACAGTGGAGAGGAAATAATCCTTGGCTGTGTATCTTCTGTCTTGTGGGGAAATACAGCTTGGAACACTGCTATCTGCAGACTCTCTGCTCCAGGATTATTCTTCTCATCCTCAAAAGTTTTTCTGCTTTTTGATATTCCTGAATGTTTAAGCTCTGAGGTTAAACAAAATACCTGCATGTTGTATTTTTTACCTTGTTTCCAGATGGGGTAACGAAGCTGCAAAGTGTCTAATTAGCATCATGCTGGGGCACTTTCATTTAGATGCAGAGCACTTCTCTTGAAATTACTTCAAAATATGCAGGATTAATGCCATCTTTTTGTGGTGACTGTTTCTCTGTTGCTCAAAGTGAGAATGAAAATTGTCAGTAGTGAAAAAGGTTGACGGCAGATGACAGAAGTTAATTCCCATATATTCATTTTCCTGGGAAAAGGATCCAGCAGACTCCCTGTTGTTCCCTCCCTCAGCTGATAAAATTGCGTTCTGGTCTTGATGTGTAAACATGCTGGAATTTGCAAGAGATCAGCTCCTGTTTTCAACTTTTAAAAGCCCAGGGCATTGCAACTTGGCAGATCTGCACTCTGTCCCCTTCCGTCTTCCTCCCTCCCATCTGTTTGTGGGATTCTTGTGCCCAGTTTACCTCCCTGTGGTCTTAAAGCTGTTGAGCCTCATCCTTGGAAGAGTCAGCGGTGGTGGCAAAGATCCTGCAGAGAGCTATTAAAGTGTTACCAACAGTGGGAGCCTGAGCTGCATAGCTTTCTGGTAGCTGCCTGCTTCTTTCATGTCAAGCTGGCAGCAGCTTGGGAAGGGGGGGGACACCCACCCAGGCAAAAGTAAAAATTATAAATATATGACAGAAATGTCAGTGTTTTGCTTTAGCTTTGTGTTTGTTCATTAATTTTCCTTATCCTGAAAGACTTAAAGGCCCTTTGATACTCTGCATGATGTCTGTCCAAGTCTTGATTAGTTTTCGTTTAATCCATGGTAAGTTAAGTTAGACTCCTGTTTTGCTGTCTTATGATTAATGCAATTAGCAAGTATTAATTGTGATTGTTGGATTAAACTGGTGTGTTTAGATGTGTTAAGAGTCAAGGAAAGCAATTGTATTGTGCAGATCTGAACTTAGAATTTGGACTACGAAACCAGACTTTCCCTTCCTCTTGAGAGTCTTGGAGGAAAAATGACACACACTTTAGGTTTCAAATGTTAACCTGGAACTCTTGCTCTTCAGTAACCTGCAGGTTCACTCCAGCTTTTCAGTTTTCAGGTTGGGAAATCAGTAGTAGTTGTGTTTGTAGATGCAAAGTCTTTTATTTGTATTGTATTCTGTTGAATCAAATAAACTGTTGGGGCTTGGGGTATGGTTTGTTTGTTTTCTTTAAAATCTGAAGTAGAAATGCTTCAATTTAGTAGGTTTTCCGTTGGAAACTACTATTTAGCCTGGTTTGCAAATGAGGGAGGCAATTGTGTTCTTATTTTTTTCCTAAACCTTCATTACTCTCCTGTTGCTGGAACTTACAAATCTGTTGGTAAATTCTAATGAGATTTTTTTTAAAAAGTCTCAAAATAACTGAATTTTGTGAGAGTTTCTGTCAGGGCAGAGGAGAAAGAGGTCCAAATTGCTGCCCACAAGGAAAAGGCAGGCAGAACTTGTTAAGTCCATTTGCTCAGCTGGCTGCTTTTGCAGGCAGATTGCCTACTCTGTGTATGATAGGAAGAGCAAGGGATGTTGCAGTCGGGAGCAGAGCTCCAGGATGAGAAAGGAAGATGAATGATCACTTAAGGCTCTATTTATCTTCAGAATAATATCACCTGGCTTAGCATTGTCCAAAATTCATTAGTCTTAGACTGTAGGAGCTTGGCAAAGTTAATGTATTGTTTTCTTCAAGACAACTTTACCTTTCTCTTTTTCAGAGTTGCAGGCAGTGCTTCTGGGTGAGCCTTTGTAATTTCTTGGCCCCCTCCTTGATTTATAAATAGAGTTATGGCTGTGAGGGTTCTGTTACTTACTGTATTAAATAGAGCCTCTCAAAGCAAATTAATCTAAACTCTAAAAACAAGGAGAAAAATAGTTTATTTATGTTCTAAATAACAGTGTGCCGGGAGGGTGCTGTCTAATACACTAGCAGAATCCAGTATGTTTGTCACGTTGTTCTTTGGTTAAAAAGTGTTAATTTTTCTCTTCAGCCAGCAGCTGCAACAGCTAGTGTTACTACAGTTACTGCTGTAAAGCCTTCGAGTACTGGAACACCTGTAAAACTTCCAGTTACAGGACCACCTGCACAAGCTATCTCCCAAAAGGCAGTCTCTGTGAAAGCAGAGGGCACAACAGTAGCACAGACCAGCGCTTCTACAGTAAGGAGGAAAAAAAAGTTTTTAATTAAAAAATTAACATTCTGTATGTTCATCAGAGGTTGGAGAGGCAGTGCAGTGTCTAACAGTCTTCTCGTTATTTCCACACTAGGAGATGCTAGAGAATGTGAAGAAATGCAAGAATTTTCTTGCTACGCTAATAAAACTGGCATCTAGTGGACCTCAAGCCCTTGAGATGGGGCAGAATGTGAAGAATCTGGTGCAGAATCTGTTGGTGAGACTTTTTTTGAAAAACAGTGTCTTCCATCATTTGTGTATAGATTATGACATTTTCTTTATCATAGTTTTGTTCCTTGACTTTTTTTTTCTTTTAAACAGCTGAAGAATTGGATTTGTGGCTGAGTACGTCTGACCCTGTTTAAGTCTTACATTATAACTCTTATTTTAGCTGAATCCTGTGCTGTATTATTTCCCCCTCACATTTCTGTTTCATTTTATGCACACAGGTAACTGTCAGC